CACAAGGGATCAGATATTTCTTTTTTCCTGATTCCTTTGCTTCCTTGATGAACTGCCTGCCTGCTGCATTTATTTTCATAAGACTTTGTGACTGCACAATGAGAGCCTTCCTCTTAGACGAGAATAGAACTGAGGGAAGGTGGAACACTGTTGTCTTCTAGTGCTGTGAGCAAGCGGCATTACCAGTGGTGAAGCTGGCGTCCATGCAGAACTCCAAGTCCCAGGTTTAGGCCTACTGCAGTTCTCAAGAACTAGTGATAAGGAATTGTGTTGTCAACCCGCAGGCACATGGTTCAAATTCGCTGGCTGTTCTTCAGGAGAAAGATGGACAGTCAACTCCTATGCCATTTATGCCTCTTCCAGGGAATAATACCAGTGAGTCAGAACCGAGCCCTAGCTGACCCCCCAATGGGTTTCCAAGTTTGTAAATGACATGGGAGGAAATTACCCATCTTTCTTCCTCAGAGTGACTGGTGGATTAGAACCACTAGGGAGGCACAGCTTTTAAATTAGCAGTATATCTCTTTATGGACCATGCCTTTGGGTCTACCTCCTTTTAAATATTTGAACCTGAGGTTCTCCAAAGTGAAATATATGGGGGTTTTAGACAGGACAGGGAAAGGCTTTCATAAGAGAAAATGTCATCCTCAGAGGACGCTGGTAAGAATGGAGAATATTACTTCAGATAGACAAAGTGAATATTTCAATAGTTGCCCACTAATTATTTTTCCCTCTTGCTGCCAGTCACATCTTTCTATTTTTACTTCTTTTCTCTTTTAACTCTAGGAATGTACTTATTAACTTCCAGACTATGAAAAGGAATCTTTATCTGTCAGACCTTTAGACAGGCAGTAATTTGGATGCTTTGCCATGGGCAATACTGCAGGCAATCCTCAACTCTGTCCGCCACCCCAGACTAACACCCTCCATCCATTGCTATTGTGATAGTTGTGATTGTGATGAATCTATCAAAAGAACTTTCAATGATGACACTTATGTAGAGGATATTCTATCCCCTCCAGGAGTTAGTTACATTTTTATACCATGTTAATAAGAATGCGAGAGAGATTGATGTCTGTGGGTTGATTAAAGACTTGTGTGTATACATTCTCTTTCTTTGAACTTCTTCCAGATATATTTATGTGTCTGTCATGATGTTGAGGGGAGGCAGCAAAATGAGAGTTTACCTTACCTATAGGGTCGCTATGAGTCACCTGCGACTTGATGGCATTTAACAACAACAACAACATGTGGTTCAAGTGTAGGAAATGATAGCCATTGTTCAGAAGCTGAGGGTAGTGGCATTCTTTTTCCTATTTGTGTGAATTGTATAACGTGTTTGCAACCATGTTTTTGCAACCTCTTCTTTCAGCTGTTTCATGAAATCTTAAAGAAAGGGCTGGAAAAAAAAGTTGTGATAATGAATTTACCTCACCATTTTTAATTAGAAATCATTGAAGTTTTGTAGAAATGTATGTAATGATTAGTATCACTGCCATCATTTGGAGAAGAGAATATGTTATTCTACCCATTATCTGTCAGTGTGCCATAGTTTGGTGGTTTTTGTGTTGGAACTAGGGATGTCAGATGGACCTTGGCTGAAAGCAGAGAATACCAAAAGATGTTTGTGTTTTTTTTACTTTGCAAAGGCATTCAGTGGTACAGATTTGTGTGTAACATTGAGATGAGTAGGAATTCCAGAACACTCATTGTGTTCATGTGGAGCCTGTACATAGATCAAGAAGCAGTTGTTCAAACAAGAGGCTTCATAGTTACAATCAGGAAAGGTGTGCATCAGAGGTTGCATTGTCTCCCCATACTTGTTATTTCTGTGAGCTGAGCAAATAATCTGAAAAGTTAGACCGAACAATGAAAAATATGGCATTAGGATTGGAGAAAGACTCAACTGCCTGCACGGCACAGCTTGCTTGTGTAAAGTAAAGAGGTCTGGGGCACTTAATGATGTAGATCAAAGACTATAGTCTTTAGGTGGATTGGACCTTAATCTAAAACAAAAATCCCTACAACTAGGCTGTTAAGCAGCATCAAGATTAATGAAGCAAAGATTGAGGTTGTCCATGATTTCATTTTACTTGGATCCATCCACAGTCAGTAGCCATGGAAGCAGTCACTTGAAAGCAGAATTTTAAAGTGCACTTTAAAGAGAGTCGTATTAAAGACTAAGGTGCACCTGATCCAAGCTGTGCTATTTTCACCTACTGCTTATGCGTATGAAAGCTGGACAAAGGGTAGTGAAGAAAACTGAAGAAGAATTGATGCATTTGAATTATGGTATTGGCAAGAAATGTATGGGCTGCTGAATGAATAAACAAATGTATCTGAATTGATGCCTTTGAGCTGTGGTGCTGGAGAAGAGTATTGAATATACCATGGACTGCTAGGAAAACAAACAGATTCATTCTGGAAAGGGTTAAACCAGGTGGCTCCTTGGAGGCAAGGATTCTGAAGCTCCATCTAACATACTTTGGACATGTTATAAGGAGAGGCCAGTCCTTGGAGAGGGACATCATGCTTGGGAGGGTGGAGGGACAGTGCAGGAGGGGAAGGCCCACTAGGAGGTGGATTGATTCAGTGACTGGGGTAATCACGATGGGAGTGTCAGAGACAGTGCAATTGGCACAGGACAGAGCAGAGTTTAGGGCTGTTGTACATAGGGTCACTGTGAGTCTCAGGTCACTTGACAGCACGTAACAACATCTTGAAAGAAGTACAACCAGAGTGCTCCTTAGATACATGGATAGGGAAACATGATCTCACCTATTTGGAGCACATTATTAGGAAGAATCAATTCTTGGAATAGGATATCATGCTTTGGTAAAGGGTTACCAAAGAAGAGGAAGACCATCGGTGAAATGGATTGACTTGTGATTACACTAGTGGGTTGTAGCACAGCAGAGATTGTCAAAACGGGACAGTATCAGGCCAAGCTTTGTTCAGTTGTACCTGGATCATGATGAGTCAGGGGTGACTCAGCAGTGCCTAACAAAAATATCAAATGTTATTTTCTCCTGAGGAAAAAAATTTTTATCTTTTTCATAGGGTTGCAGACACTCACCTTTACCTGTTTTATCTATGCAAACAATAAATTAATTTTTAAAATATGTAAAACAAACTGTAAGTAGAAAAGTCAAACAATAATCTGAGTTACTTTCTTTTTTCAAAGTTTTATATGTTTCTCTCTCATTGTAGAAAAGTAAGTTTAGTATAGATAATCTGTCTACCATGTTTGTTAGCACTATTAAAGGTGGTAGAAATTCACTATGTCCATTACACTAATATTTTACTTCTTTTTCTTGTATCTTTACATTTATTTTCCTGACATTTGTATATTTCCAAATAGTAGAATTAAAAATAATTACATATCTTTATGAAATATTTTGTTTTTTAACTGCTCCACGTAGAAGAATGTTGTTATTGTTGTTGTGTACCATAGAGTTGGAGCCAACCCATGGCTGACCCTCCAATGGGCTTTCAGAGGCAGTTAATCACACTGGAGGAGATTGCCCATCCTTCTCCCATGGAGCAGCTGGTGGATTTGAACTATGTGCCTATGGGATTTTAGCACAGCTTCTTGCCACTAGGCCACCAGTGCTATGTAGGTTAAATTCATATAAAAAATTATTTGGGAAACTACTACATGCCAGATACTATGCAAGCTAGTGGATAGAAAATAAACAAGGAACAGCAACAGGGTTTGTGCAGGGAGAAGGGTGCAACAATGAATGAATGGAATTCCAAAATCTCTGTAGATGTTCATTGAAATGAAAAATAAACAAACTAAATTTAAAAAAAATAAA